ATATTTATTTATTTAAAGTGTATATGGATATCTTATGAGAGAGCTCACACAGTGACGGTAGCGCGCGTGACGTGGCGCCATCTAGCATCAGCGATCGACAAACAGTACTACACGCCGACGCAGCAAGTGTTTTAGATTGGGATGATGATGACGTCACGATTTCATAAAACAAATCCTCCGCATCCGCTCGCATTTTAATTAGCCGGCCAGCGCCCCTGGGGGCTGACGGGCCATCGCAATTTTAATTTGATTCGCGCGCAATCGGAGTTCATAATTTAATCGCGTCGTTTCGCATGTTAATTAGCGCCCGCCGTCGTCGTCGTCACGGCAACCGGCGGCAACGCAGTTTGGAATACGTCTACGGCACTACGTCCTGCGTCGATCTGGAGGAGAGGGCGCCACTGTGCGGTCGCCACAGAGCGTTAAGACGACAGGACGAGGCAGTTCTAAACACGCCGCAGGCACGCTGCCGCCACCTGGTGGCTGCTCTGCCCCGTCGGTTCGCAAACACGTGAACAGCAATGCGAGGAGTCGTAGGAACATTCCTTCGTCCGCGATGGACGCCACACTGCGAGTCAGTGACCACAGAAACAAGATGGGTGTTGCTATCCCCCGAGCGGCCGTGAGGGACGGTACCAGCAAGCGTGGCTAAGCAACTAGTGTTCAGGATTTAGGGTTAGGATCAGGGTAGGGTTAGGGTTAGGGTTAGGGTTAGGGTTAGGGTTAGGGTTTGGGTTAGGGTTAGGGTCAGGGTTAAGGGTTAGGGTTAGGGTTTTTGCATCATGATATCTGTCCCCAGCACCATAGATTAATTTTTGTGGATGACACCCTATATATAGAGATCCGAGTATATAGATATTTAGTGTTATGGTTTTATTGTGACTGTTAACTTTTGAAGTATACGTCAACTGTAAGTCACGTGACGCATCGCCTCGCACGGCACGGCAGGGGAAGCAAACACCCAATAACAAGATAGGGCCATCGGCAAACCCCCCTAGTGTGTCGGAGAGCAGCCGAGTGCGAACTCGTTTGTGACGGCACGTGATTTGTCATCAAAGATGGCGAAATTTCCTAAAAAGCCACGAGGCATCCGCGCTATTAAAATCATCAAGAATTACCATGGATTATTATAATAATAGAATAAATTAAGAGCTAATAAACGATTCGTCGCAGCCTCGCCCGCGGAGCGAGTCCTACGCACAGCGACGTTCAATTGTTTCGCAGGCGGACGACAACAGCGCCCCTGGTGGATAACAGCTATGTACAATTAATAAATGAGCATTCATTTAGCCGTCCAATGAGCAGTGTTCCCGAAGCTAGCGATCTAACAAGCGAACAGCTCGACAAGTGACGCGTCGACTTCGACTAACACAAGACAGGTGAACAGCCATCGAAACACGTCAGATCCAATTCGCACAGACAAGTGAACGGCAAAGTTGGATGAGCGAAAAACCCTGACACGCACGAAAAACAAACGAGAAAAATGATGCAATCACAAAAAATCAATGTATACCTAAAAAATGCATTTTGACTGTTGAGATCACAGTGCTGCCACCTACCTAACTCGAACAACGTCGCGGCGCCACGCGGCGGCGTCACAGCGCCGCCTGGTGGCATCCGACAACACCATCCGACGATTGGAATAATTAACCTGTACACGGTACAATGCGTAGCAAAAATATGCAATTGCGGCGGCGAGCGCGCGCATGAGCGCAGAGGGGGCGCCACTATCTCGGTATCTCGACCGTCGTGAAGCCGGCCTCCTCGTCGTCCAATCGGCTCGGCTCGTGGCTGAGATCGGACTCCAGCCGCCGGCGCAGCCGTCCGCGGCCCCGCGCCGGCAAGCGCGCCCGGCAACCTCGGATCGGGTCCCTCCATCTCATGTGAGTATTCGTGGCTGTGCTCCTGCGCCTGGCCGAGCGCCCCCTGGTGGTAGGGCGTGCGCTGGGCGGAGTAGACGAACACGCCGAGAATGATGATGATGAAAGCGACGAGGTAGAGCGCGGAGGCGGAACTGGTTGGGCGGGAAACAAGATGGCGTCGTGTCAGGACGCGGTTACGCGCGTAGAATACATACCGTACGTGTGTGTGCGTGTGTGCGTGTATAGTGTTGTGTGTTGTGTGTGTGTGTGCCGCGGCGCGTGGTGTGTGTGTGTGGTGTGCATGTACGTGTGTGCGTGTGCATGTGTGTGATGTGTGTGTGTGTGTGTGTGTGTGTGGTGTGTGTGTGGTGTAACTGTGTGTGTTGTATGTGTGTGGTTGTTGTTGCGTGTGTGTGTCGTACCTGTGTGCGTGTGGTACGTTTGTGCGTGCGTGCGTGCGTTATTATAATATTGCGTGCGTGCGTGCGTTATTGTAATATTGCGTGGCGTTGCGTGCTGTGTGCGTGCCGGCGTGCGTGTATACGTGTGTACGTGTGTGTGTGTGCACGGGCGCAGTTATGTGTGTGTGTCTCTTTCTCTCCGTGTTCTGTGTGTGCGTGCGTGCGTGGCTGTGTGTATGCGTGCATGCGGGCGAGTAGGCGTGGCTGTGTGCATGTGCACGAAAACATTGCAAATTACAGCACAGGAGAAATAAATGTATAATGCTCAGAACAACCGACTACATACAGACATAATTTTCACCAGAAATCAAAACAATCTCTAACTTCACTACATTTAATTATTAAACAAATATTTACAAAGATAACTAGTCATTAATTTTTAAGTAAATAAATAATAAATGATAATTAATTAATTAATTCACAATTAACGCGCGGGCCACTCACGGTAAAGTGGAACGCGAAGTAGCCAACCAATAAGGAGTAGAAGTCGGCCGATAGTAACGAAAGATTCACAGAGGTGGCGCTAGTTGCCTTCATGACGATTGGCACCATGGAGTACATCAGGAAGAGACAGATGGCGAATGCCGCCAGTAGCACCACTGTAACAACAAGAGAACATCGTTAGCGTGGATCGCTCGCTCGCGCACGCTCTCTTGTTCTGGCGATCATCGGATTTCGATTCGCCCGGCAGAATGCAACCTCGGGATTGTTTAGATTTGCTGGAGAAATGTTACAAATGAAGCGATGCCGAGAAAAAGATTTAATTATTATTAATCTATATATATGTGACCATAATAATTTTAATATTATGAACATTTAAGGAAAATTATGATTATAAGAATATCACGAGTGTAATAATATGTAAGGACTCTCAGTAACGCCAGGTAATCTCAGTTTTACTACTAGTACGATATCCTCCCACCAGGTGTCGCCACCAACAATCGCTGCCCGCCAGGTGTCGCCACCACCACCAGCGCCCCCTTCAGGACTATTCCCTCTTACATAGTACGACCGCCACCAGCCAGGTGTCGCCACCATCAACGGTGGCTGCTCCTAGGTGGCGCCGCTGGGCGCGTGCGCGAGCGAATGACTCACCTACTTGCCACTTGTTCCACGGTATAGACGCGACCTCTTCTCTCTCTAACACTGACCTGAAACACAGCGAGAGCATCGTCACTAGGTGGCGCTGCTAGCACGGTGGTGACGCTCACGATATCAGTGAAGCTCTCTGTCTCTCTCTCTCTCTCTCTCTCTCTCTCTCTATTCTCATCTGCTCAGCTCTCTCTTCTAGCTCCTCTCGTCTCTTCCTCCTCTGCTTCTCTCTCCGCCTCTCGCTCCTCCTCTCCTCCTCTTCACCTCTCTCCTTGCTTCTATCCCCGTCCTCGTGAGGACGCTCTACTCGTCTCTCCCCATCTCTCTTCCCCGCTTCATCTTCTCCTCTCTCTCTCTCTTCCTTCTGCTAAAACTATTCATCCTCTCTCTCCCTCGCTCTCTTCTAATCTCTCTTCCCCTCTCTCCCCTCTCTCCTCTCCTTTTCCCTCCCTCCTCTCTCCCTCTCGTCTTCTCTCCCTACCTCTCCACCTACTACTGTATCG